TCCTCGAATAAACAAATTTTAAAATTGTGTTAATTTAAAAAAAATTCAATTCGCTTAAAAAGTTTAGGAGATATGGCGCAATACACAAAAAGAAAAATTAACATTAAGGGGTCTGAACTTTGGGCCATTCTCCTGACCTAACTATTGGAAGTATATTTCCCAGGTTACTGTCACGCCTTTTATTTTGGAGACCAATGCGAATCGGTCGGGAAAATGTATTTTTATTTAGAGAAAATCCGTTTTTATGTCTGATTTCGCAAAATAAAATATCATCTGTGCTTATTAATTAGCATATTTAAGGTCACCCCCTCGAACCATTAAAATTGAGGCCAAGAATGTCAAGATTTGATCATTAGATCGAAAGTTATTCTGGGTGGTCTGTTTTTTACAGTTCAACATGTCTTGATGCCGAAATTTTAACTTTATACGTAAATACCCTGAAGTAAAATTTTGATCTAATGATCATAATTATGCATATGGAGATTCAAACTTAAGCGTTTTGGATACGGCCTTTAGTGTAACACGTCTTATTTAAGTACACCTATCCTACCAACCAGCCTTAGTAGAAAGTTTAAAGGTCTAGAATTTCTTAATTTAGCTAATTGAGTAGTGCAGAAAATTACTTAAGTTACGCAATCGGAAACGAATGTTCCACACAGTACGAATGATCTCGCATCACATTACCTAGTGCACGTGATGATTAAAGTTACAAAATCAGATACAAAAATATGCATTCTGATCACAAAAAGAGAATGCTCAGTGGATGTAAAAATGGCCACGTGAACGTAAAAATGGAATTAACATATAAGACATGAGTAAAAAAGGAAGGTTGTCTATTTTTTAGCTAAAATATTGGTAAGTCACTTTTTTTTTTGTTTCCAATTCTTTTCAATACATTTTCAAGACTTTACAAGACTTGTACAAAAATGTTTCAAATGATTATAATTGTATGCCGTCAAACTTGTTGTAATACTTATAATTGTTGAGCAGTAATGAATAAATAAAGGAAATAAATATATTTTGCACATGATCTGTTGCAGACAATGAGTTGCACTTTTAAATATTTTCTACGTTATTTTTGAAAAAAAGCAGTCCTTAGAAATTACTTTTGTAGTCCATCGATATTATATAGAATTGGGAAATTAAATCTTGAAACAGAATTAAGAATTTGTTTGATTTTGTTAAAAGGAACTGGTCATCTGAAATAATTTTTAATTTTTAATTTAATTGAAACGAAATAATCTACCGAATACTCCAGCATAATCATGAAGATCCTAATTTAAACACAGATTGGATATATCTTTTGGATTTTTGCTATCCACGACAAATATTTGCATGCAATAAAACCATATTAAAAAAGTGAATAATAAAAGAAAATGTTTCAGTAATTTTACAATTTTAATATTATTTTACAGCAGCAAATTGTAAAAAAAATGAGAATTTTTTTAATAATTGAACCAAATTATGAAACTTTTGACTAAATAAAGTGTTAAAAAATTCAGTGAATGTATTTTTATAAGTAACTGCCGATGCTACGAGCATTTTAATTAGAGAATTTACTACCATAACTTTACTTATTTAGTAACAATTTTGATTGGTTTTAAGTTGGTAGAGAAAGGTTGTATTTGCCATGTCCACTGCATAATATGGATCGGGAGCAACGTGTTAAACTTCAGTTTCGTTTCCCTCGTAAGAATTAACATTGTTAGAGAATCTCTGAAATTTTGAAATCAGTGTACTTCGATAACATAGATATTCAGATGACTGTTTATATTTGGAACGAATGATTTAAAAGATGAAAAGAATCGGTTAAAGCCGAAATACGAGAAAGAAACAAAATAGTTAGACGAATGACTTCCTTCTTAGTCCATGCCACATCCGACTTCTAATCAGTTAGTTTTGAAGAAAAAAATTTGTTTTGTCTGCCTATTATTAGTGTTACTTATTGAATTTAGCACCATATTATTTCCGAATAATTTTAAAAGTTAAAATGTTACAAAGGAAACAAAAGTTCCATCATTCCTGATATGCATAACAACTAAAGGCCCTTCTAAAAATGTCCTCAGAAATTGTTTGTGATGAGAAAATAAAAGTTAAGATAAGTGCATCATCTGGAGTGAAAAATGCTTTGAATGGGATTAATTCAAAATTCTATTCTGATGCCAACTCATTATTTTGTTAGAAATAAACCCAATTTTCGTAATTTAGGATCATACTATGTAATTTGCGCCTAAAATAGAAACGATTAAACTTTTTTCAAAATATAATTTAAACATCAAAAATATATGATGTGGTTATTGATTTCCAGAATTTATGTTTATAAACATCTGATATTATGTATCGAAGTTAAAGCGTTCTGCCATAATGCACTGTTGCACTCGACTGCAAAAGATTCAGAAGAAACTTCTTAAGTCCCATTTGTTTAATTATTTTCAACTCTGACGTTCATAATGTCTTCAACATCCTTGAAATTTTCTCCTTTCAGAAAAAATTGAGTTTTGGAAACAAAAAGCGCACAAAGGATTTATTTGAAGAATATGGTGAATATTTTACTGAAAATTTTTAAAAAAAAACTGGCTTAAGAAACAAAATTTACGGTTGGTGAAATTATTAAAAGAATTTTTCCTCAGTATTAAAGAGAAAAACAGAGACTTTAAAAGTTGTTTTTGAAACTTTTATATCCAAGTATAGAAGTGCATTACAGCAGGTGGAGTTTAATAAAACACCTAGAGAGACATTCTGCTAAAATGACTGTACTGTATAGTAATGAATATCGGGTATAAAAAACCTAATTCTGGTTAATAAAACCTACATATACGATATTTAAGCCATTCATTTGCTAAATTTTCTATTCATACGGTAACGGTTTATCGGAAATTCTGCTTTTCAAGACTATAGTTCTTATTACCCCATATTTAACAAAATAAAAGCATACACTGAAAAGTTAATTTAACCGAATAAAGGATTTTTATGCTATGTTCTAAGGTATCCTGATAAAATTAATAAATTTTATAAGACTTCCCAAATTTTATCACGTATTATAAAACTATATGTTATTGTTAGTTTTACCAAAATCATTACTAAAAACGCTTCAGTAAAAATTATCGTTTTTTTTTTTTTTTTTTTTTTTTTTTTTTTTTTTTTTTTTTTTTTTTTTTTTTTTTTTTTTTTTTTTTTTTTTTTTTTTTTTTTTTTTTTNTAGAAAAAATGGCACGTTGGTGTATAAAGGTTAGCCACCCCTGTTCTAAGATATCCTGATAAAACTTCCCAAATTTTATCACATATTATAAAACCATATTTTATTGTTAGTTTTACCAAAATCATTACTAAAAATGCTTCAGTAAAAATTATCGTTTTTTTTTTTGCGTTTCCATACAGCAAGAAACTCAGTAAATTTGATCATGTTTTGTTAGCTGTTACCATACTTTCTTTTTATCAGTGAACCATAATAAATGACTGGAAAATTTAAATAATATTTTGAGACGTCTTAGAAATTCCTGACCACATTTTGTAGCTTAACCTGAGAAAAAATACTTTTTACTACATTTCTTGAAATCAAAAATTCAGATAATTTAATTTACAATTAAGAAAGTAATATATACAAATTTGACTTTATTTTTCACTCTTTTTGAATTAAATCATTATAGTTCTTCACTTATATTCTGATTTAAATTTAAAAATTGATTGTTTTAAAGAATTTATAAAATCAGAAAAATTAATTTCGAATTCTTTTTGTATCACTTAGAAATATGTGTTTGAAATCTAAAATAAGTAATCCAATAGCTAAAAAAGTAATACTTTATTTTATCAAATTAAAAATTCTACAATTTAAAATCAAGAGGGTTATAAACTAATACTGAGTGATTTGAATTTGTTACATTTAGAAAAAAGTTGGCCTTATTATGAATATCAAATCTAAAAGAAACTCTTAATTTAACTTATGAAATTTCATAAGTAAATTTTTTGCGATGAATATGATTATCTATCAACGTTGTAAGGAGAAAACATATTTTTGATTAAAATTACTTTTGTTTTATTTTTTGGATAAGTGAGTGTATCATTTAAAAAATAAAAATAATCTCAAAAAACACATAAACACAATTTTATTAAATAATGAAGAAAGTTTTTAACAAAATTTGAACAAAACATATTGCATATATTTAATAGAATATTTGAAAAAAATTATAGCTTATAATCAAAACTTTCAATTACTTATACACACTACTAAGTTGTAAAACAACACTATAGCATTTTTGATCAAACCCAAATTATTTTTCAGTATTATAAATATTAATGATTTAGTAATGTCTACATTGTTTAAAAATATTGCATAAATATGAATTTTTAAACTTTCTTATTAATTAGAAATGATGGGTAAACATTCAGTTTCTATGTCAAAAAATACTGTAACTGTATTCAGTAGAAGACGATAAACAATGCATAAAAAAAGTTGTACATTAAGTAAATTAAATTGTAGCGTTATTTAAATGCACAGCAGCATAAAGTTTTTGAATTTTTATAAAAAAACACAACTTTATCACTAGTTTTTGAAAAAGAAATTTCAAAACTTTTTCCTGATAGAAGTAAACAAACACTTTGCCCTTTAAAACTGCTACATCTACATTGCTTGGCATTTATTTTTATTTTTTGAATAAAAGAAATCAATCAATCAATAAAAATTTGCCAAAATAATTTTTAAGCACTGTAAAACTGATATTAAATTAATTTTGTTTATTTGAAATAATAAAACCTTTTAACTGAGTGATTCAATAAAATTCAATTATATTTTAAGAATGTTGCTTACATTTAGCATTTTAACAAATTAAGATTATCAAGATCAGATAAAATCTCAGATTAAATAATTATAATCATGCTAAAAATACAATAATTGTAAAGAATAATTTTTTCATCAAAATTAGTTATTAAATATATTGCACAGCAAAATATATTTTAGTACAACAAAATTAATTAATGACATTAAATTAAAGCAATATAGTCATTTTTAATTAAAAAATTTCTTGGTAAAATGCTTTTAAAGTCTAGTATATATTTTAGAACAATATTTATATTTAATCATTTAATCCCAAAGACTAAATAAAGTATGTTCAGAAATTGCGAGTTTTAAATACGTTAAAATGATACTATCAAATAACGTTTAACTTTTATTTAGAGGAAACTATATAATGCTGTTAAATTTTTTCAAAATCTAAATTTTTAAAGCATTAAATTTTCAAACTTGAAGAGTAAAAATTTTTTTTCACATCTAAATTCCGAACTGATTAGTAAGTGATTAGCTGAATTTAGATCTTTTTTGATCAAAAGCATCTTTAAAACAATTTTTAAGTATTTTAAAAAAGAGATAAATTCCAAATTTTTCAGTCGAGGTTATATGAAAAAAAATATTCAACAACGATAGCCATGAAATATTTACGTTTATAAACATTTTAAGAAACTAACTAAAATGTTTAACTTAAAACGTAGTGCGTATAAAGTAAGGAAACATGTACCAAACTAACAAAAGAAGTATTTATTTGAATTTCATCAATATTTGTAATAAGTTCGTATCTTTTTTAACACGATATTAATAATTTTTTTTATATTTTTCTTTTATTTCAACATGTAAGGTTTTATTTTAAGAAGTAGAGCTTTGGTTCAAGAAAATGTAAACATATATCAATTTTGCTGGGAATATTGAGCTGATAATTTCAATCTTAAAAATGGGCTTCTTGCTTTTTAAACTTTAATACATTGTCAGAAAAATTGGAGCTATAATATCAGTATCTCAAGCAGAAATACAGTACATATTTTTGCCACTTTAACTAGTAATCAATTTAACCATGTCAGACATTAGTATTATGTAATAAAGTTTCAGTTTAACTTAGCTCACTATTAAGGTAGTAAAGATATTATGGTTCAATTCACTCCAAAATGTAATTTTAAACCTATCTACTCAGACATTGAATTGTTTTTGAGTTCTTACTTTTTATCAGTTAACTCTTCCAGCAAAATGCAATTAGTTCTAGCTCAAACTGAGCTGACTATATGAATTAAAGTTCATAAATAGCAGTCCAAATGCTGTACACCATGCAAGTATTTTGGCGATAAAAGAATTATTCTCACCAACGATCTCTGTCAATGGGAGAAAAACTATCTGATGAAGGCCCGGCCCATATAGCTTTGTTCGCAGATGATATATTTAACCATGGGGTGATAAAAGATCCTTGTGCGTTGCTAACAGAGTCTGCTAGTCCATTTAGAATAGGAATGGAAGGCCATGATAGACCTATTGTACTTGCATAAGATGGAATAATTTTATTGTTAAGCAAGTTCACGTGAGAATATAACACCGAGTGTTGAGATGCTAAAGACAAAGGTAAATGACTCGATATGTGCTTGTCCTTATTTAACAGCATTAGCTGATGATACATCAAAGGAGACATTAGACTAGTACTTTCCTCTAATTGGTTGATTGTTTTTGAAGATTCAATCTCATTGTTTTGCTCACTTTGAGATGAATCGTTCTCTTTTTTCTCTTCTGTGGAACTACCAATTAATCTCTCAATCGTGAAATTGGCAGCTTTTGGCGTTAAAGGTGGACTCGTTTTATCCCTAGCATCAGTTCTTGTGGTCATGCATAGACCATTGTCAATGTCTTCTAGAACTTTGTTCTTTGAGATTGATTGATTAACGATAACACCAGGTCTGATAGGAGTATTGAGGTGTTTAGAAGATGTCTTGGAATGGAGCTTCTTTTCACTTTTTGGGCAATTCAAACTGTTCGATTTGGTTTGATATTGATCGACTATTGTGGTCGAGTGAGATTCGATCGATTTTGATTGAGCCATTTTAGTTCTACGTTTCCGTCTGCGGAAATTTCCATTTTCAAACATTTCTTCACCGTTGTTTTTTAAAGTCCAATAACTACCTTTTCCGGGTTTACCTTTTTCTCTCGGCACTTTCAGGAAACAATCGTTTAAACTGAGATTATGGCGAATGGAGTTTTGCCAGCCCTGTTTATTGTCATGATAATATGGAAACCTGAAAAGTAAGGCAAAATTTAAGGATATATTATTTGCTGTTAGTTATAAAAACAGAAAAATAGAACAAAGAAAAAACATAAAAACAACAAAATTCTAATAAATAGACACGCTAAGAAATAAATAAATTAATTAAAGCGATTTAAATGAATGAAACAGTGAATACTAACTATCTATGCAAGTAAAAAGTTAAAAAGAAATTAAAATAGTCAATTTAGATAAATTTAAAAATGAATGGTTAATAAATGTAGTAAATGATATTACCAAAAAAAGGGAAGTTTAAGATATAAAGTAGCTATGTACAATATTAAAAGACATTAGAGTGAAAAGAAAGATTATTCACTGTAATTGAATATAAATTCATTGTTATTGATAATGTAGTTATAAATTAGTAAAAGTAAATTAAGATGTTGTAATTAAAATGTTTTACTGAACTAAAATTGAAAATAAACAGGAAAAGCAATTGAAGTGACTCAAAACGTTATGCTGGTGAATGTGAAAAAATGTACTAACGAGTCAATTTATGCAAAAACTATAACATAAGAAATTTGAAATAGTTCTTAAAATGCTTTTTTATTATTTATTAATATTTTGTCGTTTTATTATTCTTTTTTCGTAAAACGTAATCCAAAGAATTTTTATTGATAATTGTTTAGTCCACCCCCAGATTCAACTGCTAAGATTGCTTTGCAATCATTTATGTTTCTTAGTGTTAAACAGACTGTTACCTCAAAATTAAAGTTTTCCATTTTTTTTATGGAATTAACACAGATTTTGTTCCCAGTTTTAGTTTTCAATTCTGTTGAAAAAAAAATTCTTGCCTAATAATTTTACTCTGTTATCAATACAAGTTCAATCAAATTTATCTTTCAAATTCTTATTTAATATTTGATTACTCTGAAAACACGTTAAATATTTTTCGTCAAGGATATTCATTAGCGATAATGTTAAAAGTAAATTTCTTTAGAATGTTTAAATAATTATTTTAATTTAAATGCATGCTAAGTATGCAATCACTTGTAGTTATTATTAAATAAGACTGTTAAATACAGTTATAATTTTTTATTAAATTTAAGCTCATACCAAGGACAATTCAAGATCCAATTTTATTTGATATATAACAGTATTAGGGATACAAAAGTATTCAAATGGTATTTTCACGTTTGTAGTAATGTAGGAAAAAATGAACATAAAGAAGCTTACTTTGTTTCGAAAAATATAATTTCTATTGGGAAAGATGAAAAGGTGGGAAAAAAAAGAGCCAAGTAGTCATTTTATTCAATGTAACCCGAAATATAAAGGATGAAAAAAGAAAAGAAAAGATGAACCAAATTTAAAATTCTGGCAAAATATTAAACAACTTAACAGTTATTTTTCAATATGAGAGATACCAAGTTAAATGAATCTAAGCAGTAAATCTTAATGAAATGATTGCTGGTATGAATGTGAAGTGAAGTTCTCAAATTCTGGAATTCCCAATTCGTATATTTACAAATGGGAATTTACGGAGCATTTTATACAAATCTTACAATAAATGAAAGGATATTAACTATATTTTATCTTTTACTTTTTTAAAAATATTTTAAATGTAGTGGATAGGCTAATATGTAATGGATAAAAATGCTTTGATAAAAGAGATAAATATACTGAAGAATTTCCATGAATCTAATACAAGGTTTTAACGGACATGATTAAAAATAATAATAAATAACTAATTATTCATAACTAATAATTCATCCTTCATTGATTCGGCATTAATTAGATCTTCAACTTTGAAAGGCTATTATCAACGTTGAACCTAGGTTAAATGCACCTAGGTTAAAAGAAAATGCACTAGAAAACAATTAAAATTAGTTAAGTCTTTTCTGACTTAATTCAACTTTTATTATTTAGATCAAGTAATTAAAGTTCTGAGAGTAGATTCTTTCTGAATTTATTAGATAAAAATTAATATCGATATTATGGAGTAATAGATACTTATAGAATAATTTATTTTATCTCAGTTTCTTCATACTTTTAACGATATTTTTCATGGTAGCAATAGGATTCAATATCAACAACAAAAAAGCGATAAGTAGATCAAATTGCTAATTCGTAAAAGACTAAAAGTACATGTTAATTAGGTATAACACACGATAAAATTTAGATATTGAAAATAAACGTATAGGGCAAAAGAGGATAATAAATGAAGACAGAATGTAAGATAATGTAAATGAGAAACCATATATAAAAATAATGGTGAGAATCAATTTAAAAAAAAAATTCCAATTGAATTGGTCAAAAACGAATTGGAATGTATATGAAGGTAAATATTCTTGACAAAGAATATCTTCACTTCTAAATTGTTTTAAGATACTGAAGATAAAATTCTTTTATATATTGCACTTAAATTCTTTAAGGTACCCGATAGATTGGTGACTTATGTGTGCCATTATTCATTTATTAATTTCAGGTTAAATTTCTAATTGTTCATATCGTCATTATTGTTTTAGCAATGTACTTTAAAGTATGAAAGTGTGTATTCTTATATTCTAAATTTTCATAATCAAGTATTGGTGTTTCTTCTAAACGCTAATATATTTGGTTTTAACTGAACGTAACTCCTAAATTATTAAATTTTAATGACAATTTTTCCTAATATCGAAGCGTAATTAGAAATATTGACGAAAATTTAAAGGAAAAAAAACTTATTGTAAGAGATTAATAATCAATAACATAAAATAAGTATATTTTGCAATATTTAAAAAATTCTAACTTTTCAATAATATGAAATAACTTTTTAATAAAGGCCTTTTACTTTCAAATACTGTTTATGAAACATTTTTATATTATTTAATTGCTTTAATTTATGACTACAGATGGATTATAAAGTTTTGAATTTTTAAGAGAATAAGATCACAAGATTGAATACAAATGTATTTTATTTTAAATTTTAAATCAATTAATAAAAATAAATAATTTTCCTTTCAATTTTAGTTGCAACGTAAATTTTTTATGTATATTTTTCAAGCATTTCTATATATATAATATTTTTACTGCTATTACTTTTTTATTTATTTATTTATATTTTGCGCATTTATTTTACAAATTTTTTACATTTTTATTTTTTTGGGAAAAACCTTTTTACTTTATACTTAGAATAATTTTCCATTTGATTTCACGATAATTTATCTCAACTTTCAAAATGCTTTTTAAAAATGTCACATTATTAATTTAATCCAAAGCATAAAAAATAAAGCAAAAATTTATTTAAAATTTTTAGTTTAATTTGAATAATTGAATCAACATTGACAAAATAATGAAAACTGAATGGATATTGCAAATATCACGATATTCAATGTTTTGAACTTCTGTATAACTTTCAATTCTGATTCATTTCAATTTACTTCCTCAATTTAAATTTTTTAGCTTCTGTGTAACTTTTAATTCTAATTAATTTTAACTTACTCCTTCATTTTAAATTTTAATTTTCCATAACTCTACAGCTCAATTTCAAAGGGATTTAGAAAAAAGAAACACAGATTTCTGATAGAAAATGTCACTCGATTTTGCATGAGTGCTTATTTTTCAATCTCAGTATCTGAATATTTTGGTGAAATGAAAGTAATAATATGATAAAAAAAAGTGTGTAAATAAGATAATTTTTTTTTGTCTAAATAGAAATATCATTGTTTTCTAAATACTTTTTTTACTAAAATTCTTTTTTGATTATCTGTAAAAATAAGGAAAAAAATCGTGTTACTGATAAATATATCTAATCAAATTCAGTTATAAATTTATAAAATCAATCGAACTTAAATAATCTGTCAAATCAATATCTGAAATAAAAATAAGAAAATTTGAAAACTTTGATAAGAACAGCTGTTATAGTTCTTGTTTTCCTCTATAACGTTTAAAAGTTTACTAAACTATAAACTTCGACTTTCCGGAAAAAAATACCATATACAGTAAACAATAAATATTGAAATAAACTATGTTTACACACGTGTAATACTGCGCAACAGATAGGATTACTTTATTCTAGAACATCTGTTTATATTTTGATAGTAACATTTATTTTTATTGATAAAAAAGATGCATTTATTTTATTTCCCATTTTTAGTTAGTTTAGTTAGATAAAATCATAGTATATTTTGAAATAACTCTTCAGGAAGAATAAAAATCAACAGCTAGAAAAAAAACACATCAAAAATTTCGTAAATAACTCTTGAAGTACTATGCTGAAAATATTACTTAAATATCTACTATGTGGTTATGCTGACTCCATGTAAAATATCAATTAAGTTATAGCCTGAAAACTGATGAAAAAATAAACAATTGACATTATAATGAAAATAAGTTTTTATTAAAATAGGCAAAAATAAATTTTAAAAACATTACTAATATTTAAATTGCTGTAAAAACGTCGCCTTTCAATGAGGTGAACCGGGTTCGAATCCCAGCGATGGCTACTTGATACGAATTCCGGCTTGCACCAATCTCACTGCTGAGGTAAAATATCTTCAATTGTAGACGGATCATGGGTTAGAGTCCCTTTGCCTTCAAACAAACAGTGGAAGGTTATCGTGATTTTCTTCTCCATTTAACGCAAATGCGGGTAAGTTCCATGAAAAAGTCCTCCACGAAGGCAAATTTCTCCTAATACATACTTGATCCAGGAATTTCCTGCTCTTTCGGATTGGGTTCAAAATTACAAGGCTATGGATTTGAACATTAGTTGTCGTAAACCCAAAAATTGGTTCGACTGTTCAACGACAGTAATAAAATAAAATGTACAAAAAATTCATAACTTGCAATTAATGCTGCTTTCAGTTTTGTTTCTCTTTTTATTTCATTTTATTTTATGTTATTTTATTTCTTATTTTATTTATTTATTTATTTAATTTTATTTTTTATTTTATTTTTTATTTTATGCATTTATTTATTTTATTTTATTTTTGTTTTTCATTTTATTTATTTATTTAATAAGTTATTTTAAAAACCAAGACTCAAAGTATCAAATGAATAGGTTCACACATAAATTTCTTGCATTTGTTACGCTTCTGAAAAAACATGGTATTTTTTAACTTTTGCATAGAGCTCATCAACTCCATTTTGATGCAGGCATTTAACCCTCAAATTCTTTTCAAAAAACAAATGAAACTGCATGGGGTTAAGTAACCAAAATTATGGAAGATAGTTTTATTGGTGATATGTTAGTAAATAAATTTTAGCATCCTACTTTTTTTAATGCGAAAATCTATCAAATGTTGAGCAGCAATCAAATAGACATTACCTTATTACCTGTAGGGATCTCATTCATGCAGCTAAGTTATTAATATATTTCATTAAAGTAGAAAGTAAAAATGTTTCAAATAATGAGTTGAAAACGTTTGAAAAAGAGCAACAACAATGTAAAATATGCTTTATTTAAGTATTTTATTGCTTAATTACTTCAATATTTTATTTTAAAGCTGAGTATCTGTTTTTCGCAAGCGGTGAAAAAAAATCAATAAATCAGCACTGAACAAGACTACGAAATCATGAACAGAACTCAAACATACCAACACAATTAATAAACTAAAATAATTCCATTTCATTATCATAGGCGTCAATATTAATATGATATTTTCTTATTTTTCTTCTAAAGAAATTAATACCATTTCTTCAAAAATTTTGCTTTCTAGTAAATAGATTATTTTTTTTTCAATTTGTCGCTATTACCATATTCATTTTAGTCATTAAGCTTATCCGACATAACGAATAAAAATTACTTAAATATCAATATTAACTTCATTTTGATTAAAAAGAGCTATAAGTTAGCAAACCTCACTGATGTTGTGCTTAAAATATTTAATATAAGAGAATCATATAGAGCTTAATTTAAAACAAAATCATTATTTCAAAGCCAATAAAGAAATTTTTTAAAAAATGATTTTTTGAATCCGGAGTTAAAAGTGCTTCTTTCAATCATTGTTTTAATTTTAGTATGCTAGTGCAAATAGTTCTGAAATCATAGGAGAAACTTAAGCGCATGACATATTCTACATTTAATTTTTAGATATTTATAATGAGTAATTAAAACAAAAATAATATCTTATTTTAACAGGAAGACATTTTTCGAGTCTTCTCCAAAATCTTTACCGTTTTTTAAGAAAATATCAAAATAACTTTCGATTGAATAGTTATTCATTCAATTAAGTTAATTCAGACTTAATGGCTCAAGAGACAAATAAAATTAGGGTTAAATGATTGAGGTTTCATTTTATTACTAATTATAGTAATATATATATATAATTTAGGTAGGAAGGAAATATTCGTATAAGAATAGTTCTGTTAGGTTAAAAATAAAGCATTAGCCTAGAAAAACATTAAATGTATAAATGCATTACAAGCATTAAATGTATAAAAAAAGGGATAATTTTAAGTTCGTTTTGAAATCAAAATGCTTAAGCTATTTTAATTATTTAAGTTATTTTAAAAATAAAAAAAATTCATCACGAACTTTTTATCAAATATTTTTATTAATCGTTAATTAAGAAATTTTTTTTAAATCCTAGGTCCATTTTTATTTTATGTTAGATTAAATATATTTTACAATGTCATAACAAAAATGGTATCACGACGTGACAAATAGTTTATAAACAATTATATTTTAATTTTTTCCTTAACAAATAGTTTATTAGCCATTATATTTCCATTATGTACCGTTCCAATTGACAAAATTTACATAAGCTATTATGGTTTTTTATTAATTAGCTGCAACCACTCTCGTTTCCTAAATGCAGTAAAAAAATAGTGAAAATTTTATCTTCTTGACCATCTTTTAAACCATTTAATTTAACAAGTTTCATTTTCTCAACAAACGCAATAATATTTAAGAATCATTACGGTATAAAGTATTATGATTTTAAAAAATGCGGCTTTGATAAAATAAAATAAAAATTACGTACATATTTTCAATATGCAAGCGTCAAATCAACTAGTGTTGTATTTATTCTCAAATATAGCTAAAAATAGTCACCTTTATTATAGAATGATTTTTGAATTTTTTTTAAAGTAAAAGGAATAAAACCATAAAATTTAATTTGATTAAATAAAAAGAAACTTATAAAAAAAGAAGTAAGCAAAACTTTAGAAAATCCTATCCGTTCTGATATCTGATAAGGGTAAATTTAACACTATTTTAAAAAGTTTAGCATTTTCTTTTATTTATGATCAATAAAGAGGTAAAATTATTAAAAAGTATTGAATTATTTCAAAAGTACATGATACGAAATAAATTGACAATTTATGATTGCAAACTAATTAACTAAAATATTAAGAAACAAGTATTGTTCAAAACTAATTAAAAATGGATTACTTTTAAAAAAAATAATTTTTTTACTTTTTACGTTACAAAAGAGTAGAAAAGTGTTTTTAAAATTCTTTTCTACTTTTAGACAGTTCGAAATTAGTTAGATATAACGAAAATTAGTTGTAATAAATTTCATAAATTGTAAATTATTTTTTTTAACTTTATAATAATATAAAAATAATAAAAAGAAAAATAATAATAATGTTACAAAATATACGAGGTACATAAATCGTTGACTATGTTATAATTTAAAAAAAGAATCAGATATTTTTTTGTAGTAACTACTTTATAAATAACATAGTCCAAAATAACATTTTGTGAATGACTTTTAAATTTAATTTAAATCATACACAAAAAAGTCATTAACAAAAAGCACTGTTTTTAGTTTTAAATTATTTTTAGGGAGAATGAACAAAAATTTTATCTTCAATAATAATGAAATTTTGATACAAAAATGCACGTTTATAAAAAACACAAGAACAAATTAATTTATGCAATTGCTAATGTATCCCAACACACAAAAAAGTCTGTTAATTATATTCAAAATAATATTAATATCTTTTTTTGTAAAAAAATGAAATTCATTCAAAATAAAAGAAAACAGGTAAAACTATATTAAAATTATTTTTTTTTCAATCCAGACTGAATTTTTAAACTTTACTTGTAAAAAATCGGGTTATTTTCAAATAATTAACTAAATGAAACCAAATAAATTAATTTTCAAAATGAAGTGAGGGACAATTACGCATCATCTATTTCTCAAAACAGTTTCGTTTAACGAAAAGGTACAATACGGGAACTACGAAACTTAAAAACAAATTTTACTTTTACAAAAACTTATTATATGCTTAAAAATTATACAAAATAAATAAGTTTAATAAAATAGCAGTGGATACGCCATTATTATTTTTATTTGAAATTTTATTGTAATAAAAAAACACTACTTAAATATGTATGTAAGAAAATAAGCAAACAAATCTAACAACTTTGAAAATAAAATACGAAACTGTTAAATATATTTATGAAACATTTTAATATTTATTTTGAGACATTATTTAAAGAAATTAAACGATATGAAAAAAAATTTCAAAACTTTCAGTACTAATTATTCAGTACTAGCTATTCCAAAATTCTAAAATTTATATTAAATTTTAAAAAAGTGAATTTTGATGAATGCTTAAAATTGAAGCAATATTTAATATTTAAGAAAATAAACATTTTAAATTAATTAATAACTAAAACAGTTTTAAACTCATTTTTATTTTAAGGTAACATTTCTTTAAAAGATATTTTAAAACTGTTTTAAGTTTAAAATGTTCTTTTAAATCTTAAGTTTGCAAAACTGTTCTAAAATTTTAAAATGAATTTGTGCAGTTATTTCAAAGTTTTAAAATTGATTATAAATATAAAAAAGCTATTAAATAAATAATGAATACATATAATGGAATTAACATTTAATTGTTAATTAAATATTTTTTAAATTAATTATCATAAACGTAATGATAATATTATTTAACAATTCATTACTTATAGCTAAAACTTTTCCTATTCTCTAAAAATTTCTTATTCATTTTATGAAATGCCTAAAATTAGGTATTTAAAAAAAAGGACATTTTATAACAAGACATCTTTGATTTAGAATTGTTATAATTTTAAATAAAACCTACAACTTTTCCAAATGTTGTCACACAAAAAAATCATATTAATTATGAAATCATTATTGAAACTTATAAAATTAAAATATCACAGCTTCCAGAAATATTTAAAATAAAAAGTTTATATGCTCAAAATATAAATAATTAAAAAATTGGTTAAACAGCTTTAAAATCAAAACTGTCATTCTAAATAACTATTATTATTAAATTTTTAAAAACTGTATTTATTAATTTTTATAATTAAAAATAATAATAATAGTAGTAGTAATAATAGTCTCACCTGTCCATTATGAACTTATATATGCCATCCAATGTAATTCGGTTGTCAGGTGAATTTCTAATCGCCATAGCGATTAAGGCTATATAAGAATAAGGAGGCTTCTGCGGTGGTGGTTCCGCTCTACCAGCTTCGTGAATAGGATTTGTTTGGGATGGTGCAAGTATCCTCCCCATCTCATATCCGGGCAGGTGCCGGTACCCTGAGAGCACTCCCTCTGTTGCTCTATGAGTATAAAGCATCCCAGGATTGTACACAAAGTTTCTAGGATCGGCAAAAATCGGAAAATATCGGTTTGCCATAGTTCTGGAATGTCAATAATTCTTAATAAGTCAGTCTCACACCACAGTTCGAAAAAGTTCTATTATGTTTGAGATTTCATTAAAAGAAGTTAAATCAGTGTCTAACAGGTGCCTGTCTCGTGCACAGAGTCAGCAGACGACTCTTCGAAGACTTTGTTCCCGAAAACAGTTTATATATCCACCAAAACTTTTCTCTTCACACTATCTTCCACTTCTAGTATTGCATCACCCTTTACTCCCGGCGATCCTGGATCAGCCGATCTGTGAAATTACCAACTGATCTTTTCAGCCAACCAAGAACAAGAGAATGTCTGTAGAGTGTGTATGGAGTGCCTGAAGGTTCGAGCACCCCTCTATTCCTTTCCTTCTCCAGTATTTTGAGATTCAACAGCAGGAGGACACTCCGGAGTAAAATAAACCTTATCCCCCGAGCCGACAAGGGTTGTACAACCACTATTCAGTGTTTCCTTTCACACGGTCTTTGTTACAAAAACATATCAATCACAATTTGATTGGGTTGGACTCGGGAAAAGAAGTTGGCGCTCCAGGCAGATTTCCGGAGTTCTTGTTTCGGAAAAGTAGCACTGGACATCTGGTTATTTCCTAGCTTTTCTCCTTGTTAAAGAACTAGTATTGTTTATGTTCTATTTCCCCCGGAGAAGCGATTTTCTCCTACCCGTGAAGACTATGTTATGATTATCCTATTATCATACCGGGATAAGTAGATGTCTTTTTATCTTCTCACTCCGATAAGACTTTTGTTGAACAAATGATTGCAGTTCTTCCAAAGATGAAATAACATTAGTAAACTAGTTACAGAGAATTAGTCATAACTTTGTCACTTTGGGTTAATAACTTGTTTTTTTTTTTGTCCTTTATTTCTCTATCTTATTTTTGAGATTTCCAAATATTTTTCTGAGCGAATTCATTTATTATCTGCTTTAAATATTCAATAAACTTTTAATGCAGCTTTGTTAAGGAGACTGTTTTCCTTGCAGAAAATCCATTATTATCCAGATATCAACTTATTCTTTTCTTTCTTTTCCTTGTTGTTTGTTCCTCTAAAAGGTTGTAACTGAATATAATTATAGATTATATTCGTATTTTATGCTGCCAAAAATTAGTAAGAAATTATCGGTACTAATTTATATTTCATATTATTTTACTTTTTTATGAGAAGTTGACTTTGTATTATTATTGTTGACTAGTCAATATACAACTTTGTTGAGACACTTGTTCCTTTTGCAGAAAGTTCATTAGAAATACACATATTTTGTGCACATTTGCTGACGTTTGCTGTATTATATATAAATAGTACTATTATTATTTCGTATTGTTTGCGCTTCATCAAGTAGTTGTCAGCACTATTCCAGATTTAGTGAAGTCTCAAACAACATTTTCTAAAGCTTTACGTATCGAAATCTTGCGATGAAAAAAGAGCATAACTCTTAACACTGAAAGTATATTCTTTTTACATATATAAATTCTCATGAGCAGCTAATTGTATGTTTTCGGTCATTTAGCCTGAAACGGTGAAGTCTTAAGGTAAGAACTGATTAATTGTACAGTATCAGCTAATAAGCTCACGAGATGAGAAAGATAAAAAAGAGAGTAGTCCGTCTAATACTAGGATGATTGCTTTTTTTTTTATCCATAAATTTCTATTAGAACATCATCAGCAAATCGTCTGCACTCGTCCATGATGCCAGATCCCGCGAAGTTCAAAATGAGAAATGATAATTTCCAAGGTATCAGTCTCACGCATTGAGATGAAAAAAGTGAGGAGTGCTTCGAACAGTGAGAAGAGCGTGTCTTATCTCTCTTTTCAAACTGAGCAAAGCGTTTAGGCGTTTCTCGTTTAAATGTATGACCTTTTTCTATCTCTTCCAAAGTGTTATTTCTTTTCTTCTTTTTTATTCTTTTCGCACACCCTCCTCCGTTGTTTTTTCTCCTTTTAACAACTTCTCTCTTACTTTATTGGATGCTAAGGGGGTGGTGGAGGAGGGGCCAAGAGGGATTTTTGTTGAATGTTATGTCATATGGCGTGTTTGGTTTAGGTCAAAGTGGACTTTTTGATGGGGGTATAAATGGGTGCCCATAAAGAACAAACAATCTTGTTCGAAGAGTGTGTATTGTCCGTCCGGCCCACACACGTCAATTAAACACTCTCGTTGCTATGACGACCACCGGCTGCGACCAATCAGCAAGCGAGAAAACGGTGAGGGATTTTATTTATAAAACCTAACGGCTCATTATCCGGTGGCCCACCCAGGCCGGGAATGGTGGTTTGTTTGTCTTTTTTCAATTGCGAGGCTCCTATATTTGGCTGCTTATTGCGATTAATTTTTTTCAATCTTCATTTTTGTTTTCGCAGCTTTTTAAAGGATGAAAATTTAGAAGTAAAAACTTGCATTTATGTAATATCTCACGCAATTGTATAAATTAATATATCATGGGTCATATCAGAAATAATTAAATATTATATTAATCAGCAAAAATTATCCTTTAATCTAAAAAAAATTAAAATACCTTAAAAAAATTTATTTTCCAGTAAAATTTTTCAATTTATACAAATATTTTTTTATAAAATATTCTTATTTATTATTACTGAATTATCATTAATATTATTAGTCTGAAATTTAGTAGTATGAAACAGTAGCTAAAGAAAATTTATGTTCTTAAACAAATTTTTACTGTTTTTAAAATAAAGATGCTTTTAAACATTTTTTCATCCTTTCGTTTTATTTTTTTCATTCTTAAGAATTTAAAGTTGAATATTATATGTCTTTATTCTATCTTGTCTATTTTATTCATAACATCTTAAATGCTTTTTTTTCTTTCCTTTTTTTAAGAAAAAAAAAGAAATATTCTTAATTTAAATATTAGAAATTTATGCAAATAGTCTTACAGTTATATAAAAACTTATAAACTTCTGATTAGAAATTTCATTATAAATTTTTATTTTCAAATAAATTTTTTTAGATATTGGCTGGAAATACTTTTAACTGATAATTCTTTTAATCAATGCAAGCATTACCACACTTAATAGAAAACCTTATAAAAGATTATTCCAGTGAAAAATTTACTTCTGTATAGCTTTTGCCACGTATTATAACTATTCAACTTAATTAATGACTAAAAATAATTTTAAAAAGTTTTAGCAAAATTTTAAATATTGTGACCAATTTGTCTTAGAAAGTATACAACCCTACATGTTTAGCGCATTTAATTTTTCATTTCAGCGCAATTAGCATTTAATTTTAGCGCATTTAATTAACTAAACAAGATACGCTCCTTCCTAAAGAGGTTAATAACGGGTATTATTAAAGGAACACGATAAATCTTCCAATTTTCTATTATGAAAGGATCGATGATAAATTATTAATTATAAATCAATCCACAAACTCTTACGTGGTGATCGTGCATTTAATAATACGCAAATTACACAAACTTTAAAAAGACATTATGTGGTCAAGTTAAATAACATGATAATATTAGAATGTCCGATAAATGCCGACCATTTTTTTTAAATTTTTTCATGCAATAATTTCAAATCTTTGAATACATTTATAAAATATATATTTCCTATAAAATATATATTTTCACAAATAAATTTTTAAAGAAACTTGAATTTTCTTATAAATATTATATTACTTTTAGAGCTGAATTGTCTATATTCCATATTAACGTTAAAAAAAATTCCTTGTTATTTTGAATTGTACTACTCTTTTTAACGTTGCGATATTTGCGCTAAAGAAAACATTCATTCCAAACATACATATTCATTTCTGTGACCTTCATCCTTTCAATAAGTGCTTTTAATTTTTCAAATATAAACTACATATTTCAATGTGACAGAAATTATTACGTATATAAACAACCGATTTGTAACTGTCGGCTTATTACCCTTTTTTCCCCGACCAAACTCCCGACTAAGGGATGAAAAAGGAGAAAGAAAATTCTAAATATGCTTTTAATCCTTTTAATTTAACTTCAAAAAGTAAACTAATCATGTATTTAGTTCACTCAGCCGTATTTTTCGAAACATACAAAATGCAAGGTAGTCATCCTATCACAATTTGAGTTAAAATGCATAAAGATTTTAGATTTTTTATTAATTTTTTCTGATGAAACTATGTCAATACAATTCTGATATTAGTTTATTATTATACACTTGTTTGTATTTAGATTTTTTATAAATATCATTGTTTCTTGCGTTCAAAAATTTTGTTTATCACCATTCAAGTCTTTAGTTTAAACAGTAAAAAACTAAATTTTAAAAAATTTAAAAACATAAAATTTTGTTGTTTTAAATTACACGAAAACACAAATTGCGAAATTTTATTGCCTTTCATTTGTAGTGATGAGTGTTATCGACAATTTCAACTTTTATCTATGAAAAGGTTCATCTAACATAGAATATAGTTATTATGTCTTATATACTAGTGAATTGGAATTGAATAATTGTAGTGGTAGGCAAGCTACAGTACTCCCCCACCGGAATTTATCTATGATTTTATATTTTTATATATTTATGCAGAAATTTCGCTTTCACTTTGAGAATTATTTATTTTAGTCCCTCTTAGTAGACTTTGATTTTTCTACTTCTGAAAAGTTTTAAGAGTTTTCCTTAAATAATTTTACACTTTTAAAAAGCATTACTCTATTTTCTTCGTTAAAGTAAATATGAAATGCTTCCGAAATATCCAAAGTCACAAATGAATTCGATGAACGAATACAATACCACTTATTTGATTCATTGCTGTTTTCGTAAGAAGCCGGGAGAGCTGTATTAAGTTCACGGTCGTGGTCGCTCCTATGTTGCCATCAGTAGTGGAGTGTCATCAGCAGATCAGCAGTCGAGACTGAGTAGCAACAGCATGCTGAGGAAAATTTCGCAGTCACAAATAGCAAGTCAACTGTTCAATGTGGACCATCCATGGAAGTAGGCGTTTTTGTCAAGGAAGGCTTAGTCAGATCACATCTGATGGTCACCAATATGGAGCGAGTTTCATTGACAATGTCAACTTTCATCTGAGAAAAGGTACGCTTACATAATATCGAGTTTAGATATCTTATATTGAATAATTGTAGTAGTAGACACGCTACACATTTTTGAAGGAAAAAAATCTACTGAAGTTCTAAAAGTTACTAAGAACTATTGCTTTTACTCTAATAAAATGACCTCAATGTTTGTAATTTTTTCTGAAAGGTATGGTCCTGTCAAATGACACTCTTTCATCGAAAGTGTATTAAGTACAAAAAAAAAAGAATATGTACACCACACATTAAGTAATAATGCTAGTTAAAATAAACAGAATTTTATTGAATCATTTCAAAAATATTTATTTACACTGTTTACAAGCTTTAAATTAATGTTTAACGAATAAAAGATTATTGAAAAACTTACATTGTCGTTAAAAAATTAAGCTTGTATGAATATTCTCGTGTAATGCTTTTAAAGAAAAAAAATTTTTATAGCTAATAATATTAAAAAAAATTAAATATAACAGAATAAAAAAATAAATTATTTAAAGTACCTAATTTATATTGCTCTGATCAAAAGTTATTATGAATGGCATAATAATGATGGATATTGAATTAAACGATGTGATACCGATTTGAAATAAAACATATAGTGTTCATAGATTGAAATCGATTGAATCATTTGGAAATTATGTTCTTAAAAGAAGAAAATTAATAAAAATCAATTCGTAAACTTTCTTTACTCGAAAACTATAGAAATTTTAGTGATAAATTAAACTATGCTGAATTATTTCGAAATTTAATAAGGGTTTATCAAAAATGAATGGCATGAATTTATAATTGTAAGGAATTACATGTAATAGGGATTTCAAATTAAATAATTAGGAAAAATTACTGTAGTATGTAATAATAAATAAGTCAATTATATCCATCTCAACGGCCATTTAGCTAACATTATTACAGTCTTAGATCTAAGAAATAAATATGAATTTATTTATTTCTCTTGTCTACGAAATATTTTTCTTCAATTATTTATTTTTCACGTAATTATTTCTATTGTATATCGTTAAAATTATTGTCACTTTGTTAACTTTTTGAAAATTCATTAAATATCATTCCAATATCTTTGCGCTAAATGCTCGTTTATCTAACAAATTTTAATGCTTTTTTTTATTCATTCCTTCAGATATGCAAAGCATTTTATTTTATTTATTTATTTATTTATTTTTTTTGAAGTTCTAGCACAAGCGAGTTCATTTTTCAGTGAAAAATAATGAGAAAATATGGAGAAAAAAAATACTATAATCGTCATTTAAGTATATTTTTAGATTTACGGAATGAATGTGAAATTATATAACTTTCTTGTGTACAAAATATTTGTCTTTAATTATTACTGGCGTTAAAGTTTTTCTAACCTTCTGACAATTCCTAAAATGTCATTTCAATGTCCTTATATCAATATCAACAATGTTGAAACGGGAGAATTTTAATACTTATGCATAAAGAAACAATACATGTAGTACAAGTGTACAGTACAAACTATGCATCATTCATTAAATACTGCCCGTAACAGACAAAAATAATGTGAAAATAATGTGCAGTTACATATGTTAAAAACTTTCCTACTTCTTTAAATACTTGTATGCCTTGAACATCTGAGCGAACCAATTAAGTTTAATATATATTAAGTTAACAAATAATTATATTTAGTTTAGGTAATATAAAGTCTTAAGTTAACATAAATTCTCCAATCAATTTGAGTTTTAAAAATGATAGCATCATTGTTATTAGTATCAGAAAATTAAGGTACCTGTATAGTTGAAACAACTTATTTAAAACAAATATTTTTAAAAAGTTTCAAATAAAGTTTAAATAGTTAAATCACAAAGTCAGATCCCTCAAATTTTCATTTTGAATTAAATTTTAAAACAAGTAATTAATTATTAAATCGACTACATTATTTTGTTTTACTAGAAATTGGTAAGTATATTTTACACACTTCAATGTAACTTTCGTATTTTTTTTTCAAATATCTTATCTCTAAAAATAAATACATCATTACCATTCGCTTTTGCAAATTTGAAAAAAATATTTGGGAATAACCAAAAATCAGCATTGCTTCGGCTTTCAAAATGAGAGTGAATTTAGAAAAGAAAAAAAAGTATGGTCAAAACTACAAGAATATAGTTAAATTTACCGTATTTCTGGCTCCATGGAAACACCAAAAAGCTCGTTAATTTTTACCGAAGCGCTATAGTAATTAATGATTTCGGATAAATCAACCATAAAATATAGTGTT